AAGTTGGTTGGCAATTTCAATGTTCTAACACAACTTGCTTACCATTTCTCACTGTCGTTGTATCGAATATTATCAACTGCCAAGTGGCTTGCCTAGCTCAAGTTCAATGCAAGGCAGCTAGTTTTCATCAATCATCTTCCAGCTGTGAATTGTTTGCTGATATATCCAACCAAACTGGTAATCTATCAACTAATATGGACACTGTTACTATGATTGCTATAGAAGGAACACGAATGCCACTGGGTCAGTATAACTACATCTATTTTAGGAAGATATATGAGAGAGAAACAATCTTTTTCTTTTTTACATTGATCGAAAGAAACTGGTAGATATATGAGACAAAACAGTTCGTAAACTCTCCTGCTCGATGTATATCACGTATCACGAGCTCTATCTTCATAGAGTTACTTTTAGTATAGCGTACTTTAGTTCTATTATTAGGGATCAGCCAACTAGCTCAAGCTCACAAACTCTAATCAGATGAGTCATATAACTGCTTCTATGAGAAGAACTGATCAATATGAAATGATACTTATTGTCTCTATATATCTTTCAACGTAAATACTATGGATCTCCTAAGGATACCTTAGTAATGATACTGATGATTCGTTAGAAACAGCCCATCTAGAATACTAGTAGTCCTTTCGAAGCATCCTGGCAGTATATTAGAGATTCTTTTGATACACTGTACAGAGCCTACTAGGGTGTCAGTAGGTGTACTCTGGTGTAATATAGGGGGTCCTCTATTGGCTCTCTAGACTGGATAATACGAATTGCGCAGAAATACGTTACGAGGGGGGGGGGATGATCTGAGATTCTCTTAACGATACTATAGAACTGATAGTGAAGATTTCTTAGGATTACTGCATGAAGGGTATATCGGATTCACAAAATACTCGTGTAGAATTGCGAATATTATGCCCTCGAGAACAACTCCAAGAGACTACTTGTATTATACTTAAGCAATTTTAAGAGACTATAGCATTCCTTGGTGCAGAGATTGTGGAAGATCTACATCCACGCCCAAAACCTCAATTTCATTTCTCTAAAATAGAATCGACTACAATCTCAACAACAACAACATCAACATCAACCTCGACAACAACCTCAACAACAACAACCTCAACAACAACATCAACATCAACAACCTCGACAACAACCTCAACAACAACATCAACATCAACATCAACAACGTCAACAACAACAGGTGGTCAGTAATATGCTAGATAATGTGTCGTACTTTTTTGTAGCTTTCCAACCGATGATTAGTCTTACTAACCAAAAAATTTGAGATTTTACCGTTCAAATGTTTATCACTTCGATGAACAAATAATACTCGTTTGGACTTTGAGTCAGTTGTTTCTCGTAGCAGTGTCATATTCAGACATAACAAACTATAGTCATTGTGTTGTTGGTACAGGCTTCCGCTGCGAGAGCCGACGTTAAGAAAAACCGGCGTTGATTCTGGCGTATCACTGACGATTACTTTTTTTTAGAAAAAACTGTCAATAGTAAAATAGCATAATAGGGATTTTGTCAGGGAGAACTAAGCCTTGTTACTGCTGCCTTTCCTTTAGTTACTCTTCCCCAGCCCATATTTAGTCTCGTCGACCTGCGCCTTTAACTCTTTCTTTCGGAGTGATTTTTGATCAATCAGTAGGAGACTACATAGAGACAAACTCGGGCTCTAGTGGATTATGTGCTAATATACCAGAATAAGCATGAGAAGTCTTATTGATTGTGATTTGTGTTCTTTGATATTTACTGAGCTAACTGACGTAGTTTTCAAATTCAGTTGTTGTTTCCTGGAAGCTTTAGACTCAAAAAGGCAGAGTCAGCACTGATGGAGACTTTTTCAGCATGTATAAAGTCACGAGAGAACAGTAATTAAAATTGAGAAGTACGTCCATTTGTAAAGTATTGGAGAACACAACTTTCGATAAATAAAATGTGTAATGCTTAGTTTGGTCTAATGATACCGTATCCAGTAGACTCTGATATAATTCCGCTTTTAACTCCGTGCATATCTATGCCAAACACTGAAAAACAGACCCGCAATAACGCAAACAGATAACCTATTTTTGTAGAGCTGTTCTCGGCGAGAACGAGAATAGGGTGTGGGTGCGCAGATAATTGTAAAATACTTGAAAAGTAGAATTTAGAATTTTGTAGACATACTCGATAAATGTGCGGATGTCTGAGTTTTGCTTGGGAGATATTGTACCGTCTCTTAGTCGAGAATATAATAAAGCTTGAAATGTATTGAAAGAATATTGTAAAGGACGTCGTCACACAAAAAAAAAGGAATCAAGGATGATGAAAATTCATTAAGGAGAGCGCAAGTTTTAAGTAATGTGAGATGTCTTCGTTGATTTTCAAATTTACGAGAAGGTTTCACATAGAGATAGACAGAATGGCTGAAAATTGACTTTAGTTATGCTCTAGAATATCTGAAATTGTCTAAAAATGTAGTGACATAATCCTTTCGAATAATTTATGTTCAATTAAGTTAAACTCTCAATGATTTAATAAAATACGACGATTGAATGCTGTTTATACACCAGTACAGATGTGAGAGCAAACTTTTTGTATTTAATAGCATGCAATAATATGTTTCTTAATCAAACTACTTACCTAGTTGGTAGTAGTCCACAGTCAGTAGCGGTCGTCGACGTGAATAGCGACTATAAACCCGATATTGCTGTTGTAAACTCTGGTTCGACTACCGTCAGTGTTCTTCTCAACGCAGGCAGCGGCACCTTTAATGCTCAAACTACTTATTCAGTTGGTACTTACCCATATTCAGTAGCAGTCGTCGACGTGAATAGCGACAATAAACCCGATATTGTTGTTGCAAACTATGGTTCGAACACCGTCAGCGTTCTTCTCAACGCAGGCAGCGGCACCTTTAATGCTCAAACTACTTATTCAGTTGGTACTTACCCATGTTCAGTAGCAGTCGTCGATGTAAATAGCGACAATAAACCTGATATTATTGTTGCAAACTCTGGTTCGAACACCGTCAGTGTTCTTCTCAACACAGGTAGCGGCACCTTTATTACTCAAACTACTTATCCAGTTGGTAGTTATCCTGCAGCAGTAGCAGTCGTCGATGTCACTAGTGATAATAATCCTGATATTATTGTTGCAAACTATGTTTCGGACTCCGTCAGTGTTCTCCTCAACAGAGGCAATGGTACCTTTAATAATCAAACTACTTACGCAGTTGGTAGTGGTCCAATGTCAGTAGCAGTCGTCGATGTAAATAGCGACAATAAACCTGATATTATTGTTGCAAATTATGGTTCGAACAACGTTGGTGTCCTTCTCAACGCAGACAATGGGACATTTCATGCTCAAACTACTTACGCAATTAGTAGTGGTCCATATTCAGTAGCAGTCGTCGATGTGAATAACGACAATAAATCCGATATTGTTGTTGTAAACCGTGGTTCGAAAACCGTCAGTGTCCTTCTTAACGCAGGCAATGGTACCTTTAATAATCAAACTACTTACTCAGTTAGCAATAATCCATACTCAGTAGCAGTCGGCGACGTGAATAATGATAACAAACCCGATATCGTTGTTGCAATTGAGCCTTCGAATATCGTCAGTGTTCTTTTGCATTGTTAAGACTGATCGATGAACTAACTTCTATTTATTCATTAAAACTTTACTATTCTACTAAAAAACTTACTCTTATAAAACATTACACGATACAAACTAACATTTATCTTCACTCTATATTAAGAATTTCACCAAGACTTTGCGACTATGAAAATTGATGATAAATACATCATTATACATTGAACAGTGATTCATTAATCAATAATAATAATAATAATAATAATCATAGTTATAAACTTTTCTCAAAGCATAGAACTGAATATGTTGTAATTATCGAGACTTCAAAATAATTATTTTGAACTGGTAAAACAATATAGCAAAGTTTCATTAGCTCCAGATATTCCTAAATATGAACGATCAATAAAACGTAACGTTGAAAATAAATAAACAAACTGCTGTTAATTGTAAGAGGGAAAAGTATATTTGAGGATGTGAGTGTACATATGACAATACAGAGAACGGTACGAGTATGAATCTTCTTTAATCCCCACACCCTTTGAGTACTCGAGTTTTATATGTATGTTTTTTACAAAGAATGAAATCTTCTGTTGAAAAACGTAAGATTAATGATATTGATTCGATTTCGATATTTGCATCCAAATGATAATTTAAAACTCGTTGATAATCATGGTACATATATTTCTTGCGATGAGAGTAAGTTTTATTCTTTATTATTAGACTGACTTGAATTTTTTGCATGGTTCGTATCTTTTTAAACTACACTCAACTTTTATTATCATTTACAAAGCAAATTTATTCGAATAATGCGAATTTTAATTTATATAATATGATAGATTCATCCTTTTCTTGTTGATCAGAAGTAACGCAAGCAATGTTTTCTTCACTAGAATTTATTTTTTATATATTTCAAAATTCAAGATACGAGTTTCCAATACAAAAATATTACTCGATCTGAAATGCATTATCTATTACTTAGATGAATGGATCTTTACGGCATGACATGTACCAACAAAATCTTCACACGTTTATATGTTTGACTGTATATTTCAATGACTGAATGTTTAAAACACAATATTTAGATATTTCTAACTTAAATAGTCCTGATATACAAGAAGTGGAATTCATTGGAGTTTGTATATATTGAAATTGTAAACTTTACTTCGTGACAATTACATGTAATTATATTTATTGTACCAGCAGTTTCACTCAAAAGATTATTAATGAAAACATGTATGGTGCAACACTAAGAAGAATGATTAATTTACTATTAAATAAGTTTTCATCTAACTACAATTAATATTTCTGAATCGAACGACACTGATAATAGTCAATAATGCAAGTTAAAATGAAACGAATTAGGAAAATAATATTATTTTTGTAAAAACATACTAAAATAAAAATTGACTTTTACAACCGTCAACATTTGTCGTTACTCTTTCATACCTTTCAACTATCATTAAACTGCAACTTACTATTGTATTTAGACAAGTACTATTGTTCATAATATTTACATAACAATTGAATGATAGCTTTTATTCCTGAAAATGAAAAACTTATTTAATTTTTTTTAATGTAATAAGAAGTTTTATTGAATGGATGAGGAAAATAAATTTGATTTGAATAGCAAATAAAGTGAAAAATAGAAATAAGTAAGTTTGAAATACGTCATAGAGATTTACTAAACATCTTCTCCTTAGTGAGGGCTGCAATTAATTGTAAATTGTTTATGCATGTAAAAGTTTCGTATTATCTCACATACGCTTTTATAACAGCAGTTATTATACTTTTACTATAGACAAATTATAATGAGTTTTATATCAACGATGATAGAAAGTAATACCAGATAAACAAAATATTTAAATGACAATATGAGTTTGAAAAATCTTGTATCTAATATTGTAACTGATGAACTACAAAGTCGAGTAATATTTTTCTCTTAGAATCGTAGTGCATAAATGAGATTTGCCTAATGATACTCAGAAGATAGAGAGAAAAACTAAATTAATATAAGAATAACAGACTGACAGTACAAGATATTTTGATAGATAGACTATGTAGAATGAAAAAAAAAAGAAAAATATTGATGTCTTATGGAATAGTATAATGAACTAGATAATAAGATGACTAATAATATAACTTTTTCTTTCTTTCTAAATTATTACGTCATACGAAATCCATTCTTAATCAGATGTTGGTTTAGTATATCAAAAGAGAGACTTAGAAATAATAATTGCTATTTAATTAAAATTAATCATAGTTTAAAACGTCAGCAAATTTTCTGATATTCTTTTTTTTCATATAAATCTTCAACAGTATAGAATAGTATTAATAAAGAAATGAATTTCATTATTTTTGTAATACATAGTTTATATTAACAATTAAAGTTATTTTTTATCAATCATTTTTTTGAAAAACAAATGGAGGAACTTGGTTTGAAAAAGATACAATTATTATTATTTTTATTTTTATCATTATTTTATTTTTAAAACGTCGATTCTTTTCATCTAAATTATGTTTTATTCGAATAATTAAGGCAATATTTATTTATAAATAGAGTGAGATTTTAATTAAAATTATCAAATTTTATTTATTATCATTGTTTAATCCCTTCCAGTCAACCCATAGAAGTTACATAGGAAAAGAATCTTTCATTATCTTTTTATGATGTAGATCTTGAGGATGTGAATGTAAATATGGGTTCGAGAGAGAATGAGTGCAATTCATGAGAAAACACGGACATTCACACACTGAAATAATATTGTTCCAACCATTTACATTCATCATCATGTAAGAGTGATAACGCGTAAAAATAGTATACCTTTGTACTTCAAAGAAAGCGAAAAGAAAATGTTTTTCTATAATTTGTTCTTAAAATATATTACGATTCATCGAGAATTTACATCGACTAGGAAGGTTTGAAAAGATAATCAGAAAAAAGAATATTTAAAGTTACAAATTTCTTGTTCTTTTGCTTATTGTTCGTGTCCCAATAACACCCAGCTGAAATGGATCAACTTGATTCGGTTGGAAACAGAATAATATTCGAAGTTTCATTGTTCGACGAAAACGACTTGATGACATCAAAAATATGTAACAATTTGCCTAAAAATAAACTTTTTAACTATTTTACAAAGAATAAATAAACATACTGCATAATAGATATAAGATAATAAAGTAGTCATCATTGAAATAAAACTTTCAATATTTAATCTATATGGATCCTTACTAATATTTAATGTAATTTGACTATAAGCAATATTAATACCATACGGCATAAAAGTAATAAAAGCAGATATTGCTTGAGATAAAATCATTCTTATTAATTGACGATCGGCTTGTTGTTCAGTAAGAATTCTTATAGAATTAATATTATAATATGTTAGATATCCAAATATAATCATTATTATAACTGGAATAAAACAAAGAACAGCTGTACCATATATGGGAGTATAAATAGCATAACCAGCATTAGTGTTTATACATGTTTTTGTAATTGATGAAATATTATAAAATAAAAGAATTGGAATTCCATGAAGACACGATATTAATGAAATAATTAATAATATTCGATATGTCAATTTCATATTACTAAATCGTCGAAGATTTGCATTTCGTGATGTAACAAAAAATTGATCAATTGTTGCTAAACAGGAACAACTTAATGAAATTAAAGTAACACTATTACCAATATAGACTCT